ACTGATTATTTGAAGTGTGAAAAAAAATACGATGGAGCAAGCTAATTCTAATAAATTCGTGGACTTATTAGAGTCCAAAGAAGCTAACGTAAGTGCAAGATGGGATTAGTGACTTCAAAATGTATGACTAACGATAAAAGGCTACCAGCTGTTCAATCGCTTTTGACTTGAAGCTATATATCTTATATTCATCCATATGAACTATGAATAACACAAAAAGACTTCGAGCGATTTGCTTATTGCTTTGAAGATATTGTACTTTTACAGTGTTTTTTAAATGAATGTTGTGGTCCCCTATAGTAACTCCAAACAATCTTACTTTTGCATTTAGAGTCAAAATTTTCGTTCCGAAACTTTGCATAGGCATAAATCTTAATCAGAATATTTTATTGTAGAATTTTCAGTGCCATTGATTTGCTTCCATCTTGAAATAAGAGTTTCCAGTTAAATGGTTAATGAGTTATGTAAAATATGCACTATTACTATAGTACTATCTCACGATAGGAGCAGTGACCTAATCAGAAAGATTTGCAAAAAACTATTCTCGTTAAAATCTATTTCTATGCAAAATTTTGAGTAGAAACTCAAAAACAAGACTTTTTGGTAGTCCTGAGAGGTATCATGGAATTTCACAGATACCGTAAAAGTACTATATCGTCGTCTTAGCAATAATCTAATCGCCCGCACTCTTTTTATGGCATTCATAGCCCGTCTCTATCCGCATAAAGGATAAACCCAATCTAAAAAGCGATTGAATGGTTACTGATTTTCCCTCGTAGGAAGAAAAGGTAGATTTAGACCGCTGCGACGTTCATGTCACCGCAACATTTGTCATTTCATGATAAAGTCTATGCATTGTTATTACCCATAAGGATCTACGCTTCATCAATCGATCTCATATCATCATAATGTCTAGTGACTTCTGCTGCATTCTTCTTGTCTCTGATAGATTCCAATGAATTTTGTTGCATTGTAGTCACCTTAGGTAATTTCGTGACAGCTATAGGAAGATTTCGATAAATCTATTCTAAAATATATCAGGAGTCTAGGATGCGCTTTTTATTTGTTAATATAAGAGTGCTATAACTTAAGATAATCCGCTACTCGAGCCTCCATCTTGATTCTGCTTCAGAAAGTTTGAAAGGATCATTCGGAATCCTGAAGCTGAAGGTTTCTGCTGTTTTATTCAGGATTTTGTTCCAAATTTTAACAAGATTAGGTAGCCAGATATCTCATTGAGAAAGAAGATTCTTTTCAGAAACTTTTGAAGACCCTGCCAAACTATTTTTGTGCTTAGGAATGAAACGTCCTACTAGAACTTGCTCTCTGTCTTTCTGAAGGCCTTGACAGAAATTGCAGAAAAAATCTGCATTGTATTTTATTGATGTTTTACTATGATCTGTTCTAAACCGCTATGTTGTGATCCTCTCAAGGCTTACAATTGAATTAAGCAAAGATTCTACAAAGAATAATGCAAGAATAGGGTGGATATGGATGCGTGGTGTGGATGTGCGTGTGTGGGTGTGGGGTGGGGGTGGAGGTCAGTTCTCTTCACTAACACCCACACCCACACCCTTGACTATTGAAAATACGCTCGGTTTTTCGTCCTTACGAATGCAGAAAAATTTGATGTGATTCTTATTCTGACCTGGATCTACACGCGTCATGGTTTACTCGGTTCATCTCATCTTCAGCCCTACCACGTAGAAGTGCTTACATGATAGAAAAAAATGAGACATTTAAGACAACAGCAACATCATTCATGCGAAATATTTCACTATTATCCATCAATATAACTATCACGAGTATTGGTTATGCTGGTAGGGACATCAAAAGAATCAATAAAAGAAGTACATTGATAAGGAAAAACAAGAAAAAAAAGACAAAGAAGAAAAGGAAATAAATATATTACATTCTTTTTCTTATTTTATCTGTAATATTTACTTATTTCAATAGAACGCATCCAATTTAAACAATACGTCTTGTGTCGATTTATCAGTTGTCGTAAACTACAACAACAACAAAAAAAAAAGATCAAGTCAATTATTTTTTTTATGATAAAAACCATCCCAAAGGAAGATGTCATTATAGAACAGTGAGGATTCAAAATCAATCGTATGCATTATTCTTAATCTTTTTTGAATATATTTTCTAACGTAAGAGTCTAGCAGTTGCTCAGCAGTAATAATAGTATAAAGATTATGCACGCACAAAAAAGAACAGCGACGCAACAACCGAAGCCCTACACGAAATTTTCTTAATTCTTCTTTTTTTTTCATCTCATCTGTTTTACTCTTAATCTATTTACTTTTGCCATTCAGTATTTTCTACATGGTATGTTTGTCAACTTTTAGTCTTATGAAGCATCTTTTGTTTTGTAATGCTGTCTTTTTAATCTGATAACAGAATGAGTATGTGCGGGTGTGAGTGAGTGTAAAACGATGAAGGACTCATAGCAGTGTCTAGATCCACATCCACACTCTTCCACGATTCGAGTTTTCCAGTAAAACTAAATGGTTCATGACAAGTAATACATTCATAGACGAAGCCGTTCTATTATGAAACTGTTCAGAGTTGATTTCATCATGAAACAAACGATGAAGACTATCACAGCAAGTGATCTATTAGAAGACTATGAAACTTAAATTGGAAAATTCAAGACTATTTCGTGTTAGCATTTCTCTGTATTTCCAACACTTATGATTTCCTTGCTTACAATGTCTCCAGCTACGAATACAAGCATGATCAAGATATCGGGCAATGTGTCTCTACAAAATAATCACACAGCTACAAAGAACGCTACTCATCAAATAGGTTTTGATTCTTGAAAGCTTCTCATTAATAATCTGTGAATTATTAGAATAACCAAGAAATGCCAAGTACTGCATGTCTCATGAAAAGAAACTGAGTATCGAAACTTTTGCAATTCTTCGAACGCTTCTAGGACTTCGTTCATCAAGATCCAGAACATCACATCAAAAATGTGTCAATGGTTGCGTTCACAATTCTAACGACGGTATACGACTATGCCAACATCATGTCCAAGTAAAACACAGAAACCGACAGAGATATGGATGTAGGTGAAGAAAAACCGTAATCCATCCTGCCTCTCGTATTTAGATGAAAATAAATTGTCTTACACATGTTAATAGTTTAATAGATGGAGTGTTGACCAGTAAAAACAGAACAATTTTAAATAGCTAGGAAAATTGTAGCGTTTGAAAACTAGCTAATATTGGATAAAAAAAAGAGAGTCAAGGGATGTTCTTGAAGCAAGAAAAACAATATATTAAGATGCTATTGATTCATTAACCGAGATGTTGTCGATACGAATAAGCTTTGCCTTATCTATATCATCATTTCTTTCTTCATATTATTCCAGTTCACTCTAACAAAGGTACACAAGAAATCGATCCAGAATGAAGTTTCACAAATTTTTTTGTCAAAAAATTTGTGAGGTAAGACTTCTCTGACAAACAATTAACTGTATGATGTCTCTTGTGCACTGTTCTCTACCGACATCTTTTGTATTATTGAACATTATTTGTTGCTCATACACAATTCAAATCTGACTTTATCTTCAAAATAAAATTAATTTAAGATAGTTTTAATCAAATCTTATTAATCGAACAAGAGGACATGAGCTTGGCAACATGGCATGCAGAAAGATGATGCTCTAGTCTTAATCTTTTTCAGTCAAAAATCTTCTCTTTCCTTTTTTTTAGTATTCACTCATTCCAATCTCAATGGTATAATAAATAAAAATATTTAAATAAAACCAATTTTTTTTTTATTAATTCAAATAGGCTACAACAACAACTCAAATAAAACGACCCGCACTTGGTGGTGCAGCTAAAAAACGATCAACTGGTTCTCGACCTGAATTAACTGAAGAACAAAAAACAGAAATTCGCGAAGCATTTGATTTGTTTGATGCTGATGGTTCAGGAACAATTGATGTTAAAGAACTTAAAGTAAAAAAGAAGATTGCTACAAAAAAAAACTAAATGTTACTTTCAGGTTGCAATGCGTGCATTAGGTTTCGAACCTAAAAAAGAAGAAATAAAAAAAATGATATCTGATATTCAAAAAGAAAATGCTGGTAAATAAACAAGACACATAATTATTCTAAATGATAATCATCATTTAATGACTAGGTACGATTGATTTCAATGATTTTCTTCAATTAATGTCTCAAAAAATGGCAGAAAAAGATTCAAAAGAAGAAATTTTAAAAGCATTTCGGTAAGAATAATTATTGAATAATATATGTACATTTTTTTTTTCATTAAAATTTTGTTTATTATTTTTTTCTAGACTCTTTGATGATGATAATACAGGAAAAATTTCCTTTAAAAATTTAAAACGTGTTGCAAAAGAACTAGGTGAAAATTTAACTGAAGAAGAATTACAAGTAAATATAATTTTACTACATGCTATTTTTCATGATAAATACTTTTGTTTCTTCTGTTTTTGTAGGAAATGATTGATGAAGCAGATCGTGATGGTGACGGTGAAATAAATGAACAAGAATTTTTACGAATTATGAAAAAAACTTCATTATATTAAATATTTACATTTATTTATTGTATGGTGTAACAATTTCTTTTTTTTTCTATTGTCAGTTATTCAAATCGTTTCATTAAACAAAAATAAAATATATTAGAGAATAAATGTATTCTTTTCCTCTTTTTCCTTGATGTTTTATGTTCACGTGCAATGCGTCCCATTATTTACTATGTATTCATTAATGCGGAACGGTTTGTTACGAATATATATAGTCGTACAAGATAACTTTCTCGGGTTTTTTTTTTATCATCGAATGCATCAATCGTGACAAAATGAGTATACAATGATAGAAACAACGTTTATTAGCGCTTCCTTGATTTATTCAAAGAAATAACGTGGCGCACAGGTAAATTGTAATGAATAATCATTATTCACAACCATAAACAAACATTTTTTTGTGACATTTGTTATTCTTAACTACAGAATACGAGATGGGTAGTCGTTTAAGTAGATCATCATCAACACGATACCAAGAAAAAAAAACAAAATGGGGAAAAGAAAAAACGAAAGAAGTACGTCAAATGACAACATCACCTGAAGTTGATCAATATTTTGTTCACAATAGTAATGAACAAAAAAAATCAGAAAGAAATCTGATTAATACATATGATGATTGGAAAAAACAAATAGATCAACAACAGATGACAAATTTTAATGGTAAAATTTGATTATCAAAATCAATTATTATTTATCGGAAAAAAACGCAATTTTGATTAAAAAAAAATTATTTCTTTTCATAGATCCACCGGGTGCACCAACGACTTATTCATCTAATTATCCAAATATTCAAAATGAGCTAATGAATCAATCATGGCCATCACATCATGATGTAAATAATCAATATTATGTAATGGCAACACCATCTAATATACCGTATGACCATAATCAATATGTTCACACTCAAATGCTAAATACCTCTATTAGTCAAGCTCAACAAGTTACTTCTGAAGAACGACCATCAAAAAAAGTACAATTTGCTCGTCCTATTCAACCAGGAGTATCTTCTAAAAATCCCTTAACTAGTACTCAATCTTGGCATGACCATAATGCTACAACTAACGATTTATCTGCTCCCATAACACGACAAGATCCATCATCAAATAGACAACCTATGCATCGATCACAATTACTTACATCGAATACATCATCAACTCAACCAGTTGTACAAAAACCTATTTATGTTGGTATTGATCATAAAGCAACATTGGCCGAACGTGGTCAAAGAACTGCAACTAAACGTCATCATAAAGATAGTGATAAAAATAACCTCGAACCAATAAATTCTGCTACAACTAATCATAGGACACGTTCTCATAAACATCATCAACATAAAAATCAAGAATCGAATGATTTATCGACTTCTAAAGTCAATGTTCAATCAAATAAAACTGTACAACCTTTACAAAATAAATTATCAAGTGCACCCCGTTCATTGACAACAACATCAACATCAACAATAATACCAAATAAATCAATACTAAATAATGAACAACCTATATTTAATGAAAATGATACCCAAGTATCAAGAATAAGACATAATCGTCAATCACAACCTCAACCTTCAGAACAACAATCAAATGTTGACAATGAAACAAAACAATTAAGAAATAAAGGAAATCATGCACAACAAAAACAACAATCACGTGTACCTAATAATCGAAATAACTCGCCTTTGCAAACAGAACCACCACGACGAAATGAAAATAAACATGACAGTGCACCAGTCATAAGAGTTGCTCTATCACCACAACGACAGCCACAACGACAAAAATCATCTGCAATGCCTTCTATAGGAACTACTACAACAAATGTTACTCGAACACGTGTATAATATTGAACTAAAAGAAAATCTTTTATTGTTAAGATGTAAAAAAAAACTATTTTTTAAATAAGCATTTTTATAATTTTTCCCATCCATCTGTAAGTGGTTTAATATGGAATTGATTTTTTCCGTTTTCATCGCTATCTTTATAATGAACTTGCCATTTTCGATTATCTCCTTTATTCATCATAACTAAACGATTTTGTATTTTACTATCAAAATCTTTTAATGTTTGATTTGATGATAAAATAGGAGTTGTAAATGATGCATCTGATGGATAATGTTCATCACCAGGCATAACTACAATCATTGCTTCGGGTATTTTATAACAAATGCCTAACATTCGTTTAATTTCATGTTCAGAATCATTTTCACATTTAGATAAATATTCAATTAAATTTGATAGTTTTCGAAAATTAGCTAAACGAGATAATTCATATATTTGTGGTGGTAAAAAATCTATTGAATTTTCATGATATCCATTCATAGCAATATCAGGTTCTAGCCACTAGAATATGAAATATAATTTTATTATATTTATAATATTGTTTAATAATCCTACATCAGCTGAAACAGTTTCATGATCATCATGAGCAATTGAACATGAATATGTATTTGATAATGCTGCTATATAGAATATAGTATCAAAACGAACTTTTGCTATAGCAGCAGCTAAATATTGACTCCATTCAAATAATGAATTAACATCAGGCTCAATTTGTATTTCTTTACACATCACAATAAATTGTGATGCGTCATGACGTATTTTATCACGCCATTTATCAATCATATTGTTTGACAGGTTCGATATTGTAGCATAACTATGTACAAATTATATTTAAATTAAAATAGAAGACAAACAAAATAGATTATCTTACTGAGAATTTGATGATGTATGCGACTTAGCAAGTAGAAGACCAGTCTCTTCAAATGTCTCTCGAATAGCACAAAGACGAAAAACAAGACCAGGATAAGGATGATCAATATCTTTATAAATATCAGCCTTTTTTTTAGAAAAACGATCAATATTTATTGAAGATGAAAGATATTTAGGCCATTCCAATGATAAATCGCATGGATCAAGTTTACCACCAGGAAAACTGTAAAAAACACATAAAAAGATACAAGTATTCCTGAGTTTAAAGTCAATAATATTAATGTTGTTAATACTCAGAAAAACTAGAACTACGAATGAAATCGATGTTAATTTTCTGCGTGTTCGTAATGTTTTCGAAGCCTTTCGATTGAGTAATCTTTTACGCTCTGCTGAATCGTTTTTGACTCATTCATATAACATATCTATGTTGAAGTAAAAAAACATTGGATCGAGACTGGTCTCAAATATTGTTGAGAGCATTGAATAAACTACTGAGTAGACAAAAAAAACCAAACTTCTCTTCATCGTACCTCTACTATGGTTTTATGACTTCGAAGATGATGTTTTGAAAAAATAGTGAAAAAGTCAGAAAGCATTCGACGGTCGTTTTGAAATAATTTTTATTCGATACAAGATAGAAATCTGCAGCTTCTCTTATGACCATTCTTCTCGATGAGATCTTAACAATAAGAATGGATGATTTCGAATCGAAATCAAAAGCAATAATTCCATATTATAAAAAGAAAAGCAAGACTAGCGATTCTGATACAGTCCTGAAAATGATCACCGTTGCAAATGGTTGATCATTTAGCATCGCTCGAGGTGAATTACTTCTCAACAAAAATATTCATCGTAAGTATATTTCCGGCTGTATACAAATAAATGAAGAACATAACTGAAAAAAACTAAACTACTAATAAATTTAATTTTTATGTCATTCGAAACGAATGAGTTCTTTGTTAACCCATTCTTCATCTTTACATGAAATGATTTTACACAAATTTAACTATATCGACATCTGACTTAGCACTTATTTAAGCTATTCTCGTCATTGATTCAACATAAACTCAATTGGAAGAGTGCCGAAACGTAAAGAGTTAAGATGATCTTTTGCTATTTATATCTGATAAATTTCATAAGAAAATGAGTCAGTTACTTATGTTTGAATCAATGATTATTAGTTTTATTCTTACGCTGAAATATCTGGTGCAAAACGCATTTTTGGTGAACGTTTTAATAATAATGTTGAATAATCAAACAAACTTTTGCCATGAATGTTATTCATTTGTCTATTTCCAAGTAGTACTAATGAAGCAGATTGTCGCCAAGGAACCATGTCTCTTTTTTTTTTGTGAAGTCTTTTTTATCAGTTTTTAAATTTATAATATCATCCCAAACAAATAAAAGATCAAATACAAATTATATATATATAAAGAGAAAAAGAAAAGAAAAAGAAGTTGAACTTTTTCCATTATTTTGTTTTGGTTTGTTGGGTTTTTTTTTGTTCACAAAATACAAACTAAAGCATTCCAAATGCACACACAAGCATGCAAAAGCAGAAAACAAACAAAGAAAAAAACGCGAGGAATATTACTAAAACTAGCAGAAAAATTATTTTTGTACATAAAAAAAACGAAAGAAACAAAAAGGCAAGGTTTTCATTTGTATTTTATTTTATTTACGATTGCACTAATATTTAACATGATAAAAACAAATGAATTCATGTACTTTCATTCGAATCTTGTTCACTATGACCATATTTTGCTAAACGTATTGCTTTAAGACGATTACGTGCTTCATCTAATTCACGTTCTTTTGTTAAAATAGCTTCTTTACATTTAATTTCTTGTGCAATACCAGGTACAACACGCATAGATACTTCAAAATATTTATCTTCTTGTTGCATTTCAACAGCACGTTGAGCAGATCGTACAAGAGCATCAGTAGCACGTTTAACAGCATTACCAGCTGTTTGTAAACGTGCCATTGATTGACTCATAAAATCAGCTTTGACTTTACAAGCTACAAGTAATGCTGCTGTATTCGAACTAACTTGTTTAGCACTTGATATTAATTTTTCTTCTGTGCCATAACCTTGAACAAGTCCATTAGCAGCATCACATAAGACATGACATGCTGATGCAACATAACGTGCCTTACAAAAATTAAAAGAATTTTAATTAAGAAACAAAGAAACATAAAACGATATATTACTGCTGATATTAATCCTTGAGACCATTGACCATCTTCTTCTAAGGTTGATTTTGTTGAAAGCTAGAATAAGATAAATATTAATTTATTTTGAAATAAAATATTATTAAATGAGAGTTAGTCATATTGACTAGTATTTATTAAACATGCATTTTGTTAGTCAAAATGTTTTGTATTAAACGAAAAAGGAAGCAAAAGCATATAGAATGTAAGCATAAGAAGAATAATAAAGCAAATTTAATTGTTTTATATTATTAAATCAAAAGCATATATTTATATAAGCTCATGTACCTAATTGATACAAATATAAACAATCATTACTACTTTTTTAGATTAATTGTCAAGTACATTATCAAGATTGAACTTTGTTGTAGTATCCTAACAAAATTTTTTTTATTTATATTCATAATATTATTTAAATTATATCAATATGAACTGATAGATAATGTTTGTAATAATTATTTGATAAAAATTCTTAGATGAAACATTCGAAAAATATTGACAGCTAAGAAATAGAGTTAAACTTTGTCACATGTACTCATATTATAAACTAGTTTTGCATTTTCTACAAGTTAGTCTATAATATGTTCGTATTTTGAAAAAGATATATCAGTTAGAGCCCGTCGCTTTCGAGAATTTCGAACTCAATAGGCTCTAGTTAAGAGTATGAGTCAATTATCATTTGATTATTATAATATCAGCATCCATTTTAGGTGAGATATTTGAAGAATGTGCTAATCACCAATGCAAATAACCAGAACAAAGTATTTCATATTTTTATTTAATTAGTCAAGTTTAGATCCCAGTCTGAAACCGAAAATTTTCCACTCGATGAAATCTTCTAACATCAACAGACTTTTCAGGATTAATGTACTCTCGAAAAGTATTAAATGAATGCTATAGGCAAGAAAAAAAAGTTGGTTTTATAGTCTTTTTCTATTCAAAATGATCGTAGAATGAATACGCAATAATACTTTGAGATATATATGTAATAATTTTTTCCAAGACAAGAAGAAGAAAAATAATAATAAAAACATATATATATATCCTTTATTAAGCTAAAGAATAATCTAAACTTGTGTTTGAAAAGAAGCCAAAATAAAGCGAATATGATCTACGTGCAATAGAACATCTAAACAGCTACATATGACGAGACGAACAACATAAATACATATACATTAAATAAATATGATACCTGTGCAGGCGAAGTGCCTTTATTGGTAGTAGATACTGAGAAAACATTTTTAGGCAAAAATGGATTTGTGCGTTTCTAAAATATTTGTCATCACTAGTTTTATTTATTCATTTTATTCTAATCATAACAATTTGCTTGTCATTATCAAGAAAGCTCTAGTACTAATAAGATATGAACCGAACCAAGAATTCTAATATCCATTATATTAACTTACTTTGCCTTGTGAAGCAAGTTCTTTTTGTGCTGATGTTGCTGCATTAATTAATGCACCAGCTGCATTCATTATTGATTTAGCTGCTTCAAGAATTTGTTCATCAAAATTAAGATTTTCATCTATTTCCTATAGATATAAAAGTAAAAGATATATATTATATCATAAATAATCTAACAATTTCACCAAAAAAAAAGAAAGAAATCAATCGACGAAATTCATCAGCATGACCTGAAACTTATTGTATATTATTCTATCATTTATACATATATTTATAATTAACATAATTAATTTAAAATCCTTAAGAAATAAATTAATAGCTCGTGTGATCAAGGTTGCAACATTGAACAAATACGAAACTTTGACTGATTGATTTCTTTTCTCGTTTTCTTCAAGTCGTAAACCTTGACCACACGAGCTATTTATTTATCTCATTAAGACTTGAAAATATATTATAAATTAACATATAAATATATATATAAATGATATTTTTTTATATACAATAAGTTTCATAT